TAAATGAATTAAAGGATACAAAAGAAGCCTAAGAGAGTTAAGCAAACGAAAGAATGGATTGAATTGTATTATGACCCAATGTGTTGTGAATTATGTAGGGTCAAGTACAAGGACGAATCAAGCACCGGAACACTGTGAGTAATATCTTAGTAAAGATATTTTTGTGTATGCATTACTTTCTGAATGTTACCTATGCGGTAAGTTTTTAAACTTCTGAATTAGTACTGTGAATGAGTATTCTATCCGCTTGATTTGATGTGGAATATGTGAAGTGATTGACGTATGAATATGAAGTGGGGCAAGGCCATTCGGTTTATTCGATGAGGATATAGATTGGGCCTAAGGCCATTTTGTATGTCTGTTAAATGGGCCTAAGGCCATTTTGTAAGACTATTAAATGGGCCTGAGGCCGTTTTGTATGGCTATTAAATGGGCTGAAGGCCGTTTTGAATAAGGATCGATTGGACCTAAGGTCGTTTTGAATACATCATGGATCTGAAAGTGTGCACAAATGTGTATATGAATTGGACCTAAGGTCGTTTTCCATATGATGACCCAAGGTCATTTTTTATACTAATTGGACCCGAGGTCGTTTTGTGTTTGGATATGATATATTTGGATATGATATATTGGACCTAAGGTCATTTTACTTTGATATTGATCAACAAGCGTAGTTTATGGATTATGATTTAATGAATCTCATTCATGAACTCCTTTACTCTGGTATTATTCACTGGGCGTTAGCTCACTCTTTATTTATATGTATGTAGGTGAGCAAAGGGACGTCCCACCCTAGCCTTAGTGAACGTATGCATGAGTACTCACTTTTTGGAAGTCAACTAAGGTCGCCTCACGCAAGAGGCCTTACTTTTGTTTTGCTTTTCCTTTTGTTCTTTTGTGGTCATGTGTGACCAAAATTGTGTATAACCTTAGTTTTTGTTAATACTGACTTTTAAATGATCTTGGACTTATGTAATGCCTACTATGGATGTTTGTATAGTGTGAGTTATTACATATATGAGAAAATTTTCTAGTTAAGTCATGTATGCACCGCTCATTGGACAATCTTTGCAAGTTTGGCTTCCGCAATTTTGGCCCTCCTATTATTAAATATGATTTGATTCCTGACTAAGTCGTAGGTAATCTCATGATTACTGGCCGGTTATTATCCTAATCCTTAGGGGTGGGTTCGGGTCATGACAATTATTTCGCCAGCCAGCTGACAATTATTTCGCCAACCAACAAACAATAACACCTTTTTTTTGGTGAGAACAAAACTTAGAGAGTGAATTCCTTTCAATATCCATGGGCCTATCATATTCACCATGCACAACATCTACCTAATTAGACCCCACTTTATCCTCTTGATCAAAAGTACTACACCTAACAACTGAAACATCAACCATATCAACACCACGTGTACAAACAATCCTCAACATATTCAGAAAATCAATATTATTTTGAACCATACAATTCGGATGGCCCACAATAGAATATGAAATAGAGATCATCCCAGGTTTCAAATTCTCCCATGTTTTACATAAAATATCAACCAATTCCTCAAAATTCAATTCGCATGAAACATTAATAACAATAGTATCATTCCCATATTTGCACAGTAACAACACTGCACTATCCATCTAAACTAGGGGGGAAAAACATGAATAATCACTTGTTCAATATAAAAAAACATAAAAAGCACAACATAAAAGTCCAAAAAAATTTGTAAAAATTATCATTTTCTCTGGATTATAATAACAAGCTTATAATTTTTCTCTGGACTCAAATAAAAGTGCAGAGAAATTCAATTTCGAGATCACAAAAACAAAAACACATTAATATCAAAAGACAAAAATACTAACTATTAAATACAAGCACTAACAAAAATCACAGAGAAGATCTCTTACGTTCACAAAATATTCAATTGAGATAATTGATTTTCACTAAACTACAAGCTTACATTTTTCTCTGTGCTTTTAATTGAATTATAATAACAAACTTACAATTTTCTCTCGACTACAAATAAAAGTGCAAAAAAATGAAAAGTGCAAAAAAAAATGGGAAGAGCAGAAAAACTGAGAACAAAACTTAGAAAATTGTAGAAAAACATATAAACAGCACAACAAAAAAGTCTAGAGAAGTTTCGTTTGATTTTCTCTGTGATGTTTACTAGATTATAATAACAAACCTACAATTTTCTCTGGACTACTAAGAAAAGTGTAGGAAAAAATTGAAAAATGCAAAAAAAAAAAAACAGAGAACAAAACTTAGAAAAAGGCAAAAAATAAATTTGGTCTCCAAAACCAGAGGTCAAAACTGATCATTGGTGTGTTGACAAAAAACAGAGAACGAAAAATAAACTCCAAAAATCAAAATCAACTCTATTGAGCTGGCCTCTTTCTAAAATTGATCAATAAAAAAGAATGAACATCAACTCCAAAAATCAAAAACAACTTCACTGAGCTGGCCTCTCTCTCAAATTGATCAAAACTGAAGACAAAAACCTAATTCAACATACAATCGAAAAACTAATATGAAATCGGAATCATTACATAATCAAAATCCATTATTTTTATCCAAACATACCTAATTCAACTCCACAAAATCCATAGAAAATCTCCATAGCAAGTTCATCCCCACGAAATCTGCTACAAAATAGCAATACAATCTTCAGTTGCCAAACTCCAAAACAACGTATATTATAAAGAAGGGTAAAATAGGTATTTTACAACCTAAAATAACATTGAGGGACCTTAGGCATCAAAAATATTATTGTGGACCTCTCCTCATATCAAAAGTTGGGCAGGGATCTTAGACAAATTTTTCCAAAAAAAAAATAAAATATATGACATTTGCAAAATTAGAGGAACAAAATAAAATTCTTTTAAGATTTATTAATTTTATATTATGAGCAGGAATTACTAACATGCATATGCCAGTCGAAAGTCTTCATTTGGTTTAGTTTTAGAATCATGATTTGAGCGTGAAGTTATAATTTGAGTGTGGTGTTATGAGTTGAGTTTTGAAAATTGAAAATTTATTTAGTTATGAGTTTTGAAAAGAGTTTTGAGTTTTTGAGTTTTGAGTTATATTTTAAAATTTTTAGGATTTAAATTTTTTTTAATATTTAAAAATTTTCTTAATTTTAATTTTTTAGGGTAAATATTTTTTATTGTAAATATTTATTTATTTTAATGTGCATTTATTTATTACATTTGTGTGCTGTATTTTTTTTAAATATTTTAATATTTTTTTAGATATTTGAAAAAATTATTTTTATTTTAATATATGATTTTTATTTTAAATATTTTATTTTATTTTTTAATATTTTAAAGATATTTTTATTTTTTAAAATATTTACTTTATTTTTTTTAAATTTTAAAAAATTTTGGATTGCCATATATATCTAAATCATAACAAATTATTTGGCCGATACTTAAAAAAATAACAAAATATTTTTATCGAAAAAAATAAAAGTAAAAAAAAATTCTTCAAAAATAAAAATAAACAAAATATTCTTTGAAAAAATATATTTTCCAAAAAAAATATTAAATAAAAAATAATTTTAAAGAACAAAATAAAAAATTTTGATTTTTTTTAAAAAAAATAGAATTTTGGATAATTTTTGAAAATAATTTTAAAAAATTTGGTTATGAGTTTTGAAAATAATTTTTGAATTGAGTTTTGAATTGTGTGTTTGATTATGAGTTTTCAAAAGTGTTTTAAAATTTTTGGATTGGAATCACAATTCCAAAAATAAACCAAACACGACCTTAGTTTTTTGTGCAAAAACAACAATGTCATTTATTAGAATATAAATGAAAATATAATACCTAAATTGCTGAAATTGAAGCTACAAAAATTAAACTAAAATTTTGTTAAAATTATAGAGATCGGTGATATAATTTACCATTCTCTCTAGTCCTTTGTTTAGCTTGAGCCGAAGGTCAACCACGGACCACACTTTAATGATTTGATCTTTTAATTTTATTGGTGTGCAGACCATTCATAAAAAAATGAGATTGATAATCAAACAATCTGTTTCAAAATTATACTTGTCACCTATTTTGGTAAATAAAGGTGTCATAAAATCTTATTGATGCAATTATCTTATCAATTTTATTTTTTATTTTTTATTTTATAGATGGTCCACACAGTAAAATTTAAAAGATCAACGAATTGAATCATCAAAATAAGATCCGACCAAGAGACAAATCCAACCACATAGTGTAAATCAAATCTTTGTTGCACTTCATCAATTTATAACTACTGTCAACACTTAGACATTTATTTAAGAAATTATCCATATATCCTGAAGTATTTGAATAATATCGATTTACTAATGAAAATAAATATGAAAATGTAAATTAAATTGAAACAATCTAACGTAGGCACATAATTTTATAAAACACAAAAGACAGTAATAATAAACCATTACCCAATTTGTTGTCATTGTGGTCAACAGTACAAAAAAAATCACCTCCCACCATTCATTGGCAACATCATTTGTTCCCTCACACTATCATATCCAGTTGCTATTGTGTTACTACTACTAGTAGTACAACCTCCAAACTCATACCCACTTAACTTCTTATGAAGCAAGCGCTCACTTTCTACACCATTCAAATCAATTGTAACCCATGGATGCTTCTTCATCTTTTTAATGATCAACCCCTCTAGCTCCATTGCTACTTCCTTCATAGTAGGCCTCTCCTCTCCTTTTACTATTAAGCACCTCTTTCTATGAGCTCCTCAACAATTCATTCAATTTCTATTTGTTCATAAATAACTTGGAACAACTGATCATTTTGCATACACGAAAAAAAATACCTAGCTAGACTCCTCTCCTTCTTTGGCTTGTCAAATGACAACGCCTTTTTTCTGGTGATTAACTCCACAAGGACTACTTCGAAGCTATGAACATCATTTTTTCTGTCAATTGGTTTGTGAGCATGTTCTAAGTACCCAAGAGTTCCTTGCACCACCGTTGCTAATTGATCTTAGTCTAGTGGAACCAACCTCGATGCTCCAAAATCCAACACTTTTGCAATGTAGTTATTGTCTAAGAGTATATTCGTAGACTTAACATCTCCGTGAATGATTGGAATCGATGCTGCATAATGCAAATGTGCTACTCTAGCAGTTTCTGTAGCTATTCGCAAACGATTTTCCCATGACAAATTAGATGCCTTGATTTGGTTATGTATATGCTCAAAGAGAGTGCCATTGGTGATGAATTCATAGACTAGTAAAGGGACTTGAGTTTCCAAACAACAACCTAAGAGTTTGACCACATTCCTGTGATTGATCTGTGAAAGCACGACTACCTCATTGATGAATTGCTTTATTTGACTTTGATTCATAATTTGTGATTTTTTTTATGGCCATTGTCGTGTTATCTGCTAGAATTCCCTCATAAACTGTTCCAAAACCTTCTCTACCAACAATTCTATTGTCATCATAGTTATTGGTAGCCTGCTTGAGCTCTTCTAAAGTAAAGATTTTGACCACTTCCCTAGTCGATCTCTCTAGCTAAAGAGTTGTTGTTTCAATATTAATCCACCAATTTGCCTAAAGAACTTTTCTTTAAGCTTCATGAGCCTTCTTTTCTTGAAAGTCCAATACAACCAGGAGCTACTCACCAAAATAGCCAAAGCACAAATGGTAACACCTGTATTTCAAATTAGTCATTTTTAACTGACAAAGGTTGTAAGCATCTTGCCAATATATTGATTCAAAACCAAGCAGAGAGAAAATTATTTGACTCGTGATATTAATAATAAAAAAAATGACATATAAACTAACAAATTTTACAATTTTTTATTTATTTATTACTAATAATGTAACATGTAATAATAAAACTTCAAAATCTGAAACACAATCCTCTGAAATAAGGGTAAGGTTTGTCTCCAGTCCGGTTTTGAACTAGATTGTACTGTCGGGCCTCCATGAGCCTACCATGGAGCCCACATCGATAATCCAAATCATTCAATGTGTAGGGCCCATCAAGTATTTCATCTATGCAAAAAATCACATTGATCGGATATCGATTGTTACTTGATCATATCACATTTTCGTTAATAATTTTTTTGAAAATCATACTGAACGTTGACAGAAATGTGATCTGATCAAGTGGTTATCGATATCCAAAAAATGTATTTTTTTGTAGGGCTGAAATACTCGACAAACTCTACATATTCAACGGTATTGAATTATCAATACAGACTTCGTGATAGGCCCATGGAGCCCAACAGTACGGTCCAATCCGATTATGGATTGGACACAAGCCACACCCTTGAAATAATATGATATGTATCATATGAGTCAGTTACACAAATTTGTAAAATTTATTAATTTATATAGCATTACTTTATTAACAATTATAAATATTCTTTTAAGCCACTTGAGTATAAAAGGATGCGGATCCGATTAAGGAGGTAGGTCAGAAGTAAATTTTTCCAAAATCATTAATTATGTGAATTAGGTGTTGTAATTTATTTATTTTACTTTATATATATATGGCATTAGCATTGACATATATGTATATCTATATTATTATATATGTGAGCATATGACTTGGTGTCTAATAGAATAGTAGTTTCTCCTGCCACGTGACAAATTTTCATATCATAAAATGAAAAAATATTATTCAAAGGCGTGAGTAAGATTTGAACCAAAGACTTTATGTTTCATTAAGAACACTCTTATCATTTAAACGACATACATATGATGATATTAATTTCTTTGTTATTTATTTTTATTCTTACTTATCTAAATTGCACATGCATGGCGTATGCCACCCACTGGTGTATATATATATATACATACCAATCACAATATGAAGCACAAAATCTGGATTGGCAGTGCAACATGTTCCATCTGTTTTGCCATCATCGTGGTATCTCTTGGGGCAAGAGCACGTATAATTCCCAGGTGGCGTGTTTAAACAATAGCTTTCGTCTACACATTGGTTAGAATTTGCACACTCATCTATGTCTGCAAAACAATCCAAATAGAGGGAAGCTCAATCATAAAATTAAAGCATCACAAAAGCAATATATATATATATAGAATCAAAAGTAATTGAATCCAAACATGATGAATGAAGTTGGCTAAATGGATATTCCTAACCTTTGCAACCATCTAAGAGATATGCGTTTCGTTCGTAACCCTCTGAACACTTGCAGATATACCCATTACCATCTTCTGTGTCATAACAAGTAGTATTTTGTCCACATGCATAACTTGTTTGATTTTTTTTAGCTTCTTCACAAGTCTCATTATCCCTTATTTCCCAATCAAGCACCATCGGCACCATTGGTTTAAAATCTTGAAGGTAAGTTGCGGAGAAATTAAATGCACCATCTTCAACAACAAAGGCATAGCTACAGGAATTGAAGTCCATTAAATCTGTATGTTTGGAGAAGCTATTCACAAAAATTCGATTTGGTCGACCCCTTTTGGGATGGAGGTCTGGCAACAACCAATTCTAGAGCAACATTCATCATTAGGAACACTGTTGATACTGTTACATTGCGACTGACACCCAATTGCAACTACCAGAGAATCGGTTTTATTAGTGATTTGGACAGATCCCAATGTGTCACAACTGATAGAAGTGAACTTGTTTTTGTTATTTGATATGAAGAATGTGGAAAGGCCAAGCAATGCGATGTCGTGTGATAATAGGCTACCAGTAGAGTCATAACATTCATTGGCTATGAACGGCATGATGATACGTAAATAGGCTACCAGTAGAGTCATAACATTCATTGGCTATGAATGGTGAGAGGGAGATTTGCGTCGAACAGTGTGGCCGGGCTGAACAACACGAAATATAGTGTTGGCCCACGCGAAAGAAACCAGGAGCTCGCTGTTTGGCCAAATTAGGTCCACTCTAAGTATATTGCCAAATTGGACTAAGGTAGCCGAGCTATATCCACACTGTATCTGGGGGTTTGACCGAGTTAGGCTCATATCGAATGAAGAGTCTTGCTGGATTTAGCCGAGATGGAGTGGACGGGTGGAACTGCCTCGGCATTGGGGCTCTAGGTAGCCAAATCATCTGACGACCAGGCTATAGGTAGCTCAGTCTGCAATAGTGCGGGCAGAGATGGCCCATAAGGTTGATGGACAGCAACTGAGATACTTTTCACCATAGTCCAATCTGGTTAAGCTTGGTATAGAACTGTCTATTGAAATATATAGTTCACCAAGTAATAACTCAGTTTGACATCCTACATGGCCCAGTGACGAAGATTGAGGAATCCACTCCAGGTATACGTCAATACCGTTTGGCAGTTCGACAAACACTGTTTGGAGGTTTTGGTCTCTACACGTGTAGGAATGGTAGAGGGGTGCACAGTGGTCTACCTAGAAATGGACAGCAGAGGTAGTGCGCCTACAATCTCTAAGGCTGCATGGCCAGCCTTGAAAAGCAGAAACATGGAGACGTTAGTATTTCAAATTCTCTCTCTCCACAGTGCTCTATTCATTCTTCTTCTTTCTCTCCAAGTGTGTTGACTTGATCGTCGGAGGGTTTACCGGCAGCACACCGCTGGGCTGCTCATCGTCTTTCTGTTCTCAAGTTGAGCAATGCCACGTGAAGCTTGGATTCAAGGAGTACGGAGAACAGAGAATATTTTATCCCCATACAATTAACGCCGTCTGTGGGAAGTCTTTGACAAAAAAACCTTGCTCTCCAAGATTTTTCAACCGTTTGCATGGCCAACAATGACGAAACACTGCTATCCGTTGTCGACAGTATCACACCAGAGTCTATCCGAATGAGAGATGGCTCTCATGCTATTCCGACTATGGCGGGCCTTGAGACCTCTTCTAGAGGCGCGCGCGACAAACGCACGAGGAGCACTGAACATTCAAAGAGTCGCGAGGGTCACCGATAGCGAGGAGAGTCACATGCTCAGCGCTTGGAGCACAAACTCAAAGACCAAGACGCCATCATTCGGAAGATGACGGCTGAAATGGAGACGCTGAAGTACCAAATCAAGGGGAAGGATATTGTTGGAGTAGGCTACCACAGTGAGCGCACCCCACCCCATCACTCTGACAGTCGTCGCTAGCATGCGACACCCTTTCTCTCTATTACCAGAAGCTATGGAGTTGGCGACTCTGGCCCACCGGTGGAGAGATCTTACATGCGCGACAACAATTACCATCCTCGCGTCCGTCGACGACGTCGAGATACTCTTACTCTGCCAATTCGGGAGACCTAAGGGATGTGTTGGAAAAACACGCCTACCGTAGAGAGGCCCAAAGATTGCCAGTGCTAAAAGGCTGAGTCCCCAAATCCATTGCAGTGAGGAAGTGGCCATGCCGGCGCCTAGAATGGTGGCTCCAACACCGATGGACAGAGAGCTAGCAAGACTTACCGCTACCCCACAGTCCCTAGAGATCGAGAGCACACCACTCCCTGCTGGATTCCACCAACCTAAGTTCACGCTATATGATGGCATGATGGATTCGTATATGCACGTTAGTCATTACCGGCAAGTAATGGTTGGCCACCGGCGCAACGACGCCTTGATGTGTCTTATGCTCGAACACCGAAGGAGGTTGACCACCTCTTAAGCGTCAAGATAGAGTCCAGAGGTTCTTTGAAGGCATACAATGCCAAGTATTGGGAAACTTACAATGAGATCCTCGATTGTCCCACAAATCTGGTAATCACCCAATACAAGCGAGGTCTACTAGTCAGGCATAGGTTGCGAAACTCGCTCACGATGTTTCAGCCCACTACCATGGAGTTCTTAATGCAACGAATCAACGAGCATATCCGAGTAAAGGATGATGCCATTGCCACCACAGCCACCGCAACCGAGAAGCCAAATTCGGTTGCGGTAGACAGAAGAGTGGTTGGGAAGGTTCACTCGGTGGGGCAAGAGGACAACCGCCCTAATAACTGAGCTAAAGACCAACATCGTGGTTCAAACTGCAATGATAGAAACAAAAGTAGCGGAAACGACCGAGCTAACGTTCCTCGCAGCGAAGAGGAAGCTGCCAAGAGGAAGTTGGAAGCATGAATTGGCATCACCACTGTCTTTAAGATCCCAATTTATTGCATTCTCAGTGAAATCCGAGGTGAGCCATACATACGTTGGTTGGCCAAATTGGGAGACACGCAAAGGGGCTTCAACTTAAGGTACTGCTGCACCTTCCATGAAGAAAGGGGTCACCAAACAGAGGATTGCGTGCTGCTCAAACAACACTTGGAGAAGCTGGTTAAGGCTGGGCACTTGGATCATTACATTGACGGGGGTATGAGGGCAGCTCTACAAGGACAAGCCGAGCCAAATGCCATTGCTACCTTGGATACGGCGCCCCAAGGAGTAATTAATGTTATTAATGGCATCATCGAGCTGGCACGGGTTTGCGAGTTGAGGGGGATGATCAAGAAGGCCGAGCACAAAAGGGAAGTGCTCTCTATTCAGCCCGCCATGAAGAAATGCAAGACCGAGATAAAGGACGTCTTAACTTTTTCAAGCAAAGACTTGGAAAGAATTCAGGTGCCTCATAACGACGCCTTAGTTGTGACACTTCGCGTCAAAGACTTCAACATCAAAAGAATTCTGGTCAACTTGGGGAGTTCGGTCGAGAGCATGTATTACGACGCATTCAAGCAAATGAAATTAGAGGACAAAGACTTGGCTCCAGCAACGTCTCATTTGGTTGACTTCAACTCTCAACCGGAATGGCCAATCGGAAAGATCATATTGCCGATCAAAGTTGGGTCAGTCACGAAGCAAGTGGAGTTATGGGTGCTTAAGGTCCCATCGACCTACAACCTAATCTTGGGAAAGGGTTGGTTGCACACCATACAAGTAGTAGCGTCGACTTATCACCAGGTCCTGCGCTTTTCTGCACTAGCCGGACAAGTAGAAGAGGTTTGAGGGGACCAAGTAATGGCAAAGCAATGCTTCGTTGCGGTAAATGGCAACTGGGCTGCCCAAGGCTTTGTCCAAATGATAGAAGAGCTAGAAGGAAAGGAGGTGCTGGAAAATGTGGGAAGAAAAGTCAAAAAGAAATCGGTTGAAGACTTGGTGAAAGTGCTCATCGACGAGAACGACCAGAACAAATTCTTCTTTTTGGGATCATCTTTGTCCAATACCAAGCAGCTGGACTACGTGAATTTTTTGGTTTCCAACATAGAAGCCTTTGTGTGGACGTTTTACGATATGTCTGGCGTCGACCTTAGCTTCATTTGCCACCAATTAAATGTCTTTCCCAACGCAAGACCACTCATTCAAAGAACTTGGCACTCAGCCTTGCACCATGCCAAGGTAGTGGCAAAGAAGGTCAAAAACTTATTGGAAGCTGGGGCAATAGAAGAAGTACAATACCCTAGATGGATCTCTAATACTGTGGTAGTGCCAAAGAAAAATGGGAAGTGGTGGGTGTGCGTTGATTACAAGACGGTCAACCGTGCTTGCCCAAACGATAGTTTTCCATTGCCAATGATCGACCAGCTGGTGGACCTTACCGCTGGGCACCAAAGGTTCAGCTTTTTAGATACATACCGCGGCTACCACCAAATAGCCATGTACGAGCCAGAGCCAGATAGAGAGATCATGTCGTTTACCATGCCCAAAGGCTTGTACTGCTACAAGGTCATGCCTTTTGGCCTCAAGAACGCTGGGGCAACTTTTCAAAGAATGATGACTAAAATGTTTGCCCCACTGTTGGGCTGCAGTATGAAGGCTTACATTGACGACATGGTGGTGAAGAGCAAAGCCAAGTCTTAACATCTCACGGACCTAGCTGATATGTTTGCCATCCTCAAATACCATAAGATGTGATTGAATGCATCCAAGTGCGCTTTCAGGGTGGGAACTGGAAAATTTTTAGCCTTTATAGTTACCAACCGAGGAGTTGAGGCTGACCCCTCACAGATTAGAGCAATTCAAGAGCTGGAGCGACCAAATTCTATAAAGGATATGCAACCTCTCGTCAGAATGGCGACCGCGCTGAACAGATTTATCAATCGATCATTGGATCATTGCAGGCCCTTTTTCAATTCTTTGAAAGCCAAATTTTTCTGGGCTGAAGAGTGCGACCGTGCGTTAGCGGATCTAAAGGCTTATCTCTCCTCAGCCCCAATCCTGGTCACACCATAGCCGGGCGAAGAGTTATATCTTTACTTGGCTATTTCTCAGTATGCGGTGATCGCGGTCCTCGTCCGTCCTGAGGGGATCCAGCACCTCCCTATTTTCTATGTTAGTAAGACACTGCTCCCGGCTGAATCAAGATATCTGTTGCTTGAAAAATTGGCACTAGCTCTCATAATGACCTCCAGGAAGTTAGCGCATTATTTCCATGCCCACACAATAGTGGTGCTAACTGAATTCCTACTCAAAGGTGCTCTTTGAGAAGGTAGACTTCACTGGCAAGATTCCGAAATGGGCCGTAGAGATAGGACAATATGACATCAAGTTCCAGTCGCGCACAGCCATCAAAGCTCAAGCCTTTGCTGACTTCATGGCAGAATTTGCCCCTGGCACATACCCTGTTTGCCCTGTTGATTTGGCTAGCACAGACTTGACACAACCCACGGTTTCGATAACAGAAAAAGGTGGCGAGGAACAAGTAATAAAACAACAAGAAGATATCGACCTAACAATTGGGCTATCAGAACAAGAGAAGACCGAGTTACCAACCAACCAAACGAATGTGGATAAACTCTACACGGAACCGACCAGTGCCATGGATTTGAGAAACTCCCAAAATCTCTCTGACTGTTGGAAATTGTCATGGGTGAGATGTGGAAGCTCTTCGTTGATGGGGCCTCCAACAGACATGGCACTAAGCTGGAGGTCGTGTTAACATTGCCAAATGGGCTGACCATTAAGCATGCTATCATGCTTGGTTTCCCAACATCCAACAATGAGGCGGAGTACAAAACCCTCCTCACCGAACTGAAGAGTGCTTTAAGAAGGAAGGCGTCAAAGCTTATGGTATTCAGTGACTCCAAGTCGGTAGTCAATCAAGTTTTTGGGGAATATGAGGCCAAGGATAAAAGGATGGCCAAGTATCAAGTGCTGGTTCGAGCATAAGTCAAAAGGTTTGCCGCGATAAGAGTGGAGCAAATTAACCGCGAATAAAACATCCAAGTCGACGAATTGGCCGGCCTGGCATCTATGCAGACAACTTTTCCCAATTCGTTGATGATAGAATTCTTACCCCGACCGAGCATTGAGGAACCAAAGAGTTGCTTTCCCTTACAAGTCCTTGGCCATTTATGCTTTGGGGGCTAGACATTGTAGGACGGCTTCTGACCGCTTCCAACCGTTCCGAGCAACTGCAAATTTTTCATCGATGCTACGGACTACTTCACTAAATGGGTAGAGGTCGAGCCATTGGCCACCATCAAGGAAAAAGATGTAAAGAAGTTTGTCTGGTAGAATATCATCACTCGCTTCAGCATCCCAAAGGCCCTAATTTCAGATAATGGCACATAGTTCGACGGAAAACTTTTTCACGGATTTTGCGAGAAGTTAAAGATTGAGTTTTACAACTCTACATCGGCTTACCCTCAATCAAATGGTCAAGCCGAAGCCTCGAACAAAACAATTTTGGACGGGCTGAAGAAGTGACTGGAGAAGGCCAAAGGGAGGTGGGCTGAAGAACTCCCCAATGTGCTCTGGGCATACCGCACTATGCCAAGACGCTCAACCGAGAAAACTCCATTTGCCTTGGCTTACGGCATGGAGGTAGTCATACCATTGGAAATTGGCATGCCAACCATCCGATCTGAAAGTTTTTAACCAAACATAAACAGTGAAGTTATAGCCCTGGAACTGGACCTAGCTGAGGAAAGAAGGGAACTAGCACTAATTCACATTGCGGCCTACCAATAAGAGCTCTCCAAGAAATATAATAAGACCGTGCATCCTAGGCTATTCAAGATAGGAGACTAGGTCTTAAGGAAAGTAATGGGCAACACAGTGATCCCTGGAGAGGGCAAGTTAGGAGCAAATTGGGAGGGTCCATACAAGATAACTAGCCTTGCAGGCAAAGGGGCATACCATCTAGAAGACTTAGATGACAAAGATATCCCTAGACCATGGACTGCGGCCAACCTCAAGATATTTTACTTTTGAAATGTTATCTTTTCTACTTCTTTGTTTTTTGTAACTTTTCCTTTTGCCATTCGGTGTAATGTGTGACGTGCAATAGAAGATAGCCCCTTCTTTCTCTTATACTATGTGTTTCTGTACAAAAATATTACAAGAATATTAAGCTACTGTGAGTGCCAGGGGAAATGCCCAAACCGGGCTGACTTTGATTACTGTATAAACAGTTGTCCGGTTATGAGTTGATTTTGCTTTCAATCGACCGAGATGATTTTTGCTTGCAATAGTTGAGCTGATTTTGCTTATGATTGCCCGAGCTGATTTTTGCTCACCGTTATAGAGTTGATTTTGCTCATTAAACTGAGCTGATTTTGCTCATGATTGCCTTAGCTGATTTTTGCTCACTGTTGTTGAGCTGATTTTGCTCATTATGCCGAGCTGACCTTGCTCGCCCACTCAAACAGTTAGTGTTTTGCCCAACTCGTATTGGAACCAAGCTAGCCTTGCTTGCCCAATCAAGCAATTGGTGTTTTGTCATATTCAAACTTCAAAACAGTTGATGTTATGCTCAACGAATGTTTTAAACCGAGCTAAGTTTGCTCGTTAACCCAAGCTGATTTGCTCGCCGTGGAATGACCTTGTGATTTGTCCAGCTGAAGAATTGTTTTTGCACTTAAACTGAGCTAAGTTTTCTCGTTAACCCAAGCTAATTTGCTCGTCGTGGAATGACCTTGCAATTTGTCCAGCTCAAGAATTATTTTTGCACACCAACCGAGCTAATTTCGCTCGTTAAAATGTTTTCATCCCCGAGCTAATTTTGCTAGTTAGACCCCTAGCCGAGCTAAATCTACTCGCCTATAAGCCAACTACGCTTCCCCAATTTTGAAAAGGAATTTTACATTTGTGTACATTTGAAAAACCAACTCGGCCTAACAGAGATTGTTACTCTTGGAATGCAACGAGAAGATTTTTATCTTGACTATATACAAGTGCAGCCTGGTGCTATGAAACCAAGCAATATGTATCTCGGCCGAATTGATGAAAACAACAAGGCAACCAAAAATTCAAATACGTGGCGAGCAAAAAGTTCATCATTTTTCATTCATTCATGACAAAGTTTGATTACAAAAGTGGGGTTCATAGCCCGATTAAAAAAAAAAAAAAAAAGAAGACAAATCAGTCCAGTTCCATGGTATTAGCTTGGTCGGTCAAAGTAATCTCAACATCTCCTTCACTCTCGTCGGGCACCGGATTCTTCTCCTGCTCGGGCTCCTCTTCGGCTTGGCTACCTCTTTCTTCGGACACCTCTGAAGGCGGATTTTGATCGGCATGTTGCACGGCGGAAACATCTGCCATGGTTGCCAGTTTTGCCTCTTCTATCAGTTTCTGGTACACGGAGCTGGCATAAGCTTGCATGCGGATCGGAATGAAGGCAACTGGGGGATTTTCAAATATGTCAGAGTCTTGCTAAAGACCAATTTTTTCCATGGCCACTTTCCAGCTGCACTGGAAGAAGATGTCCTTGGTCCCTTCCACTTGCTGTTCATAGGTTTTTTCACCCTCCGCATAGCCGCGGTCTTCAGCATCATCGACTTGCTTCTCTAACTCGGCTTTGTGGGCTTCACGAAGTTTGCGTAGCTCAGTGATGTATCTGGCCTTGGTCACTTGCAATGCATTTTGTTTATCGTCATCCACCCTTGCCAGCCGCTCTGCGAGTCGGTCGCACTCGGCCACAGCCTCCTCCTGTGCAGTCTTTAACTTTTCCAGTTCGGTCGTTTTTGCTTTATTATCCGCAATGGTCTTCCACAGACTCTGCCAAA